GAAAGAAAGAAAGAAAAAGAAAGAAAGAAAGAGCTTCCCAGACAACCTTTCTTTAAAATTAGGGATGAAACCAAGAAATCAGAAGACACATTGACATGAAGTTAGGAAACAGGGAATCCCAAAGTGATGGTGCAGGGGAAGAGGTGGGGGCTTGGGAGCCAGGAGCAAACAATGCAGATTGGAACAGAGAGCGGGAACCCCAGGAGGAGCTGGCCAAGCAAGGGGACTCAGCTCATGGATGCCCCAAGGGCTTCGCTGTCTTACAAGGAACATTAGAGCTCTGTCAGAGTGTGGTGGTGTACTCTCTGTGATAAGCACAAAGAAAACCAAGCAAGTTGAACAAGGAGGCAATCATTAATCCCCAGGGAAACCCAGAAGTCCTACAAGGAAGGAAACACAGTCATAGGATGTATGGTAACTCCATTGGCTGTAATGTTTATATACATAGTATATTACATGAGCAATATAGATTAACCAAAACCTTTGATATAACCAAACTAGAAGGACAGAGAAGGGGATGTCAGGTGCACACGTGGACTCAACCTTCCTGGTCCCTAAGAGAAAGGCAGCAATAACAGGGATACCGGAGAGCCATTGAAGAGCAGTGTGTGGCATTTGCAAATTTAGGGATGAGTCACAGAAGAATCTAGTTGCATCTGGAAAGCACAAATCTGGGGTGGAGATATGAGGCAGGAGACTAGGCTATTTTGTTGTTTTTCTTCTTTCAAACCTTATCATTTTACTTGATTTTTGAAACTCTGGGCATGTGTTTTTAAACTAATGAAATATTTTAAAAACCCTGGCATTGGACTTCTCATCAGTAATGCTGAAAGCTAGAAGGTCATGGAGTAATCAGTCACCTTAAAACTCCACGGGAAAAGGATTTCCTGCCTGGATTCAATGCCTACAGAGAGAAATCAGCCAAGTATGAGACTGGAATATAAACTTTTTCAGAAATGCAAGGTTGCAAAAAAAAAAAAAAAGTAATTGGTGTGCACCTTCTGAAGTTTTTGCAGCACATGCTTTCCTAGGCCCTGAGAACAGACGCTGGGACAGGAAGTCTTCCCCAGGAGGGAGGGTCCTTCCCAAGGCTGGCTGGGTTCAGGCCCGAGTTACCAGAGGCCCTGGAGCTAAGAAAGGAGGACTCAGCCTGGAAGGGTCCAGGGCAAAGGCTATTTAAGACATCCAAATGCCTGAGCATATTTGCCACCAGTGTCTTTAAGAACAGGATGAAGGAGCTGGAAAAGTTAAGAAGACATATTTAAATACCTTGCAAGTTTTGTGGGGTTTTTTTTGGTTTTGGTTTTGGGGGGTTTTATTTGCTTTTTTGTTTGTTTGTTTTTTTGTTTTCCTAATGCTCTAACTCCAGGGCACCAGCAAACAAAACTCTAAGAAAAGGGGCTGTCACTGACCACACGGTGACTTTCAGAGACTAACATTTACATAATCCCAATAAAACCCTTGACAAGCGGTTAAGAAAGAAGCGGATAGAGCCCTCGAGGGATGCAAGGGAGGGGAGGGGGAGGGGCTGGCTGCAGAGAGCTAAGCCTCATTTGTCCTGACCGGAAGGCAACAGAAATGTTTCCAATTGAAAAAAATCAAGAGGCAGCAACGGAAACATCTTGCTGAGAAAGGTGGAGGCCAAACCCAGAAGGAACAAGTACACGTGGAAACTGGTTGTTCCTGGGAGAAAGGAAAGAGAGGGAGGGCTGGGAGCCATTACGTCTCCTTCTGAGATGGTCTATTCTCCTTCTTTTTAAGTCTATTTATTTACTTTTGAGAGAGAAACAGAGTGAGTGGGGGAGGGGCAGAGAGAGAGACAGAATCCCAGGCAGGCTCCCAGCTGTCAGCGCAGAGCCGGAGCCCGGGCTTGAACTCACCAACCATGAGATCACCATCTGAGTCAAAATGAAGAGTAGGATGCTCAACTGACTGAGCCACCCTGGTGTCCCTCCTGAACGTTCTAATGATATTTGATTTATTTTTTTCCTAAGTGCATGCATTGTTTTGTGTACAATATACATATAATTTATCGAAATGATCATAAAAACCTACCTCTGGGCAGTGGCGCATGAAACACGCCAGGAGGTGGGGAGCAGCTGGAGTGCTCCCGAATGGAAGCCCCCAGACCTCACTCTCCTCCTGGCCTCACCCACCTCTCCTGCTCGAGGCCCCTGCCCTGCCCCCACATGCCCAGACTGTCCAGTTCACAAAGCACTGTCCGGGCAGCTTTCTCCTCCTGCCCTCCCAGGAACCCTCACGCCCCTTCAACCAACAGAAGCTGAGGTTCAAGTATGGATTTCGGGGGGTCTTTAGTGGGTCCCTCACATGGCAGGTGCACCCTCCGAGGAAGGCATGTAGGGAGCCAGGGAGGGGCGGCACATGGGAATTTCAGAGCCCCGCCCCTCCTGGTGCAGGGGGAGGGCGGTGGAGACATCCGCAGAAACATCGCCACAGCTCTGGGGCATTCGATGTCCTCAAACAAGCCCGTGGCTCGGGGGAGGGCTCAGATTTAAATTCCTTGACAGTCACGGGACTGGGAGAAAGGGAGACTGGGCGCCAGGAGAGGCATGGAGGAGGGCGGGGGCAGAGGGGACACAGGCTGTGTAAGTGGTGACAGCTGTGGGGGATCCCGACCCCACTCAGGGCCAGGGCTTCGCCCCGGAGCTAAGCCCACTTCACACATGCAACAACAAGGAGGAGTTAACAAGGTCTAAACAAATACTTCACAGCAACTTTAGCCACGGGCAGGGGTTCTCACACCTGCCTGGCGATAAGAATCTTATGGGACGTTTGTCAGCTAGATTCCTTTTCCTGGAGATTCTGATCCACTGCCTCTGGGTGAATCCCAGCGTCGGCATAGGTCTGTTTAAGGAGTGCGGGGTCGGGGAGGGGGCTTCAGGAATCCAGGGTGTCCAAGACCCCCTCCCCCAGCCCTGTTCGCCCTATTTCATAACCGCGTGATATTTAACCAGCTGAGGCACTTGGCCGCTCCCCGGCTGCTGGACACGAGGGTTATTTCCGGGGCTGTGCCATTACAAATAACCCCGTGTGGGCCATGTTCCCGCACAGCGTCGCTTTCCTGTTTGATTGTTTCCCTGGGATAAGTTCCCAGAAGTGGGATTCGTGAGTGGAAGCATGGCCATTTTCCCGCTCCTGATCCTCAAACCTATCCTAGTCCGGCCCCGGGATGAGGATCCGGACTTTCTCTGGCCTGGGGGAGGGTCAGCCAGCCAGAGTCCCACTTAGAGATTCCAGAGAAAAATGACAGATCTGACCCTTTCCTGTAAGAGCTGATTACCGCTCCACGCACTCACGGCTGTCGGAGCGACGAGGACCCAGGTGACTCCAGGCCATCTTTCTGGGGTCCACCCAGGCTGCTTGGCCAGCCGGCGACGGACTTTCCCTGTAGCGGTCACAGCGAGTGAGGAAAGGATTTCTCGGGGGTCCCCGCCCCCCGCACGGGGAAACAAATCTATCAGCAGCTTTGGGAAAGGCCAGAAAGGGGGCCTGGAAACCCAGTAGGCAGATCATTTTTGGTCTTTGCAGACAACAAAGGGCTTCTGGTCCCTGCCCCTCCAACCTGTCTTACAGGAAGGGCTAGCTGTTCCCTGAGGAGGAAGCCCCCCTGCCCGGGCTGAGGGTTAAGGAGGCCCCTGCACTGACCGCCTACCCTCTACCACCTCCCCTGTGGGGTGAGCACAGCCTCTCTTTGGGGCTCTGCCCCCCTTGGGCTCTGCCCCCCAGGTCCAGGGAGGGCAGGAGTCAGCCCCTGACTGCTGCCCTTGAAACACACACTTACAGAGTCACCACTGCAGGGAGGGGGCCCCAAGAGTCCCCTCTCTCCTGAGGGAGCAGCAAGCGAAGGCGGGGTAGGGCAAGGTTTGGGAGCGTCCCACCAGGGGGTCCCAGCATTCGCAAGCACTAGCGCTAGCCCGGACACAGAAGCCTGCTCATCCCCGCTGACCAGTGAGCCAGGCCTCGGGGCAGGGCCTGAGGTGGGTCTGCTCCTTCAGGGTCTGTCTATGGAAGACTGGCCCTTCTGCTGGGAGCACCCCCTAACAGGACCAGGGGAGTCAGCCTCCCGGCGTCCAGAGGTCCCGCAGAGCCTGGGACCCGGGCACTTCCCCAAAAAGTCTGTGAATTCTTTGAAGTCAGGACCAGTGTCTGCTGCGTTTCAGACTCGAGGTGGTGAGTTCCCTGTCCCTGGAGGCAAAACAGCTAAGGCAGCATGGACATGTCTCGGAGGAATAGAGGGAGTGCTTGCTGGCAGGGCGGGGGGGGGGGTTCCGTGGGCTGAGTGTGCACCCTGTGCCACCATCCAGCCGACACTTAGGCCCACTTTACAGCTGGGCAAACTGAGCCCCCGTAGCTGAAAAGGCCTGGAGCTCTAAAGACAGCTGGCACTGCATGAATCATCAACTATTTATTGTGCGCCTGCTGTGTGCCAGGCCTCCTTGCTTCCCGAGTCCCTCCTTGACCAGTCTGCCCAGCCGATGTTCATAGTTAATTACAAGCAAAAGTGGCTGCCTTCTGTCCCTTCCCACAGGAAGGGAATTATCCCCGCGGCCACGCCCCAAAGCCTCTGTTCACTTGGCCATGGCCCTGTCTGGTGTGTCCACACAGCTAGAATGACTTCCTGGGTGGGACTGGGGGCTTTCATGTGCACGAGGCCCGCGCCAGCTGTTTCCAGTAGCAGGGGAGTCTCACGGGCGTTGCTGGGGTAGGCGCTGGCCCCCTCCTCTGAAGGACTCTCCCGGGGCTGGGAGCCCAATGGTGCAAGGTATCCCCCCCCCCCGCCACTGCCACTGACCATGGAATGTTCATAGAGGATCTTCTGTGCTCGGGACCAGGAAGATCTCAGCCTCCAGAGATGCACCTTCTAAAGATAACTGGGGATAAAGAGAAGCCTTGACAGTAACTTGTCCGTGTGTGCAATTGACCTTTTGCACCCAAGGGCAGGATATTCTGGTTTACCCTCCTCAACTCCATTCTGTCAGTTTCAGTCCCCTGTTCCGTCTGCTGACGTTCCCGGAAAGGCCATGCTTTCACGAGGCGTCACCATCGGCACATCCGCTAAGCCTCCGATGGCCCCATCCAGAGGCTTGGTCGAAACAGGCAGGGCCAGAAGCACAGACCCGTGGCCCTGCCTTAGAGACTCGTACTTCCGGCTGCACTGATGTACAGAGTATGGTCTCTGGGGGCACCTGGGTGGCACCGTCCGTTAAGCATCCGAGTTCCGCTCAGGTCTCGATCTCATGGTTCAAGATCCAGCTTCGGGCTCTCTGCTGTCAGCAACAGACCCACTTCGGATCCCCTCCTGTCTCTCTCTCTCTCTGCCCCTGTCCCGCTGGCAGTCTCTCTGTCTCTCCTCAAAATAAATAAACATTAAAAAACAATAATAATTAAAAAGAGAATATCCTTCAAAACCCCAACAACAACGGGTATCACCTCTGGGCCGCGTCGTGCAGGGAGCTGTGGGCTCCTCCTGATGCCCACTCTCTGCCCGCGTTTCCCACTCTGCCAGGAGAACAGCACAAAGAGTTTGACACACGACCACCTATCCCTCCTCCATGGCTCGCCCGCACTGTCCGCTTTGCCCTGGACGTGCCGACCGTCTCCCTCACCGCGCTGACTCCCACACCAAGACGAAGGTTTGTCACGCCCCCCTGGCCTCTGTCGGGCTCTCACGGCCCCCGACCGCCTGCCTGCCCAGCCCCTCCCTACACCCTGAGATCCCAGGATCCCCAGAGTCCAGTGGGGGCAGGGCCCCCTCAGGGACAGCACTGGCTTGGGACCAGCCAGGCTCCGGCAAATGACGAGAGCTCTGTGAGCCTCAGTTTCCCCATTTGTCAAATGAGGATCCTCACCACATTAAGGGTTCTGGTGAAGACCACAGACCACGGGTGTGAAGTGCTCAGCACACAAGCTCGGTGGGTGTTCACCAGCCAGGAGTGGCCGGGGACAGAGGAGGAGACAGAGAGATGTGCCCTGAACAAGACCAATGTCCTATGGGTAGCTCCAGGAGGGCCCAGTGATTCAGATGGGGGGGGGGGGAGTGGGGCTGGGAAGGCTTCACTGTAGGGGAGAAGCGTGGCTGAGCCTGAAAAGGGGCTCCCCAGTTCTACAGGCAGCAGAGTTGGCGAAGAAGATCCAAGGAAGAGAGGCTTCGGGGGTGGGCTGTCTCCTACAGACCTGCTCGTGCCGGCTTTTATCATCTTGATGATGTGTGTGTGTCAGATTTTAGAGGAATAGAATGGTGTCAGAGCACCTGACTGCATTTCTCTGAGTTCCCGTTTCCCTTTAAGGCTGGCTCTGAGAACCACGTTTCCTTAAGGACTGAGCGAGGAGAAATCCTTCTCCATTAGCTCAGGATTGAGAAATGAGCTCAGCCCAGGAGAATTTGGGTGATTTGGAGGAAGTGGTGCTTGTGAGATGACGATAGCCACACTTGATGGGGGAGGAGGGCGCAGGACCCTGGCATGCCCCCCTGGGAATGCTGCACTTGTGATTTGGGGAGCATGAAGGGCTTTTCCTGGCCAGACACGCTGCCCTGAATTCCTCCAGCACCCGTGCCCCTTGCTAGGACAGGCACTTCTGTTAAAATGTAAATATTTTGTCTGGGAGAGGGACACTTTGCCTTGCTATTAAAGGAAAGGAAGATGGGAACTGGCTTACTAAGTGCCCATTGCAGGAGATGGGCACCCCACGCTGTCATCGAACCCACGGGGCAACCTGGTGAGGTGGGAGTTACCCCCTCAGCCTCCCTCCGCGGGTGGGAGACTAGACTCAGAAGGGCCAGAGCTCAGGCTGTCCACCTCATGACGCACAGCCACTCCTCTGCTTTCTTGGCACGCGCCCCCCGGAGTGGGAGATGAGACAATGCAAGCGTTCTGGGGGCTCTGGGGTTCCCGTGCCCCGCTGCCCCCGACGAGCGAGCGGGGAGCCTGAGCCAACCTCCACCTCCCGATTCCCCCTCTGGCTGTGGATGCTAGCCCGAGCACCCACACTGCGCCCCGGGGCTGTTGTGGGGACAGAGATACGCAGAGTTGGTGATACTGTGTCTGGGCTAGGGCTCAGTAAAGGGCAAGTCTGCACATTCTTATTCTTTTTTGTTTTTTTTTTTTTCAATTTTATTTCTAAGTAATCTCTACATCCAACGTGGGGCTCAAACTCACAACCCCGAGATCAAGAGTCTCACGCTCCACTGACAGAGCTAGGCAGGCGCCCCACCCCCACCCCATCTGCACATTCTTCTTTTTTTTTTTTATTCATTTTTGAGAGAGAGTGCGAGGGGGGGAGGGACAGAGACAGAGGGAGACACAGAATCTGAAGCAGCTCCAGGCTCTGAGCTGTCAGCACAGAGCTTGATGCAGGGCTCAAACCCACAAATGGTGAGATCATGATCTGAGCCGAAGTCGGATGCTCAACCAACTGAGCCAGCCAGGCGCCCCCTGTCTGCACATTCTTATCAACTCACACAGGTTGGGGACTGCAGAGCCTGGCTTCTGACCCAGGGATCCCCCCGCCGCCCTGTCTCCTGTGCGTGCATCCTGGGGTCTGTGGAAAAAAGGCAGGTGGCCTGGAGCGGGAGCTTGTTCCTGGGACTGGTGGCTCCACGAAACTACCTGCCCCCCGCCCCCCGCCCCTGACAGTCATGTGCACAAATACCATCTTCGTCCCATTGTTTCTCTGGGAGCCTAAATCAGGAACTACACAGAAGAGGTCAGGGTCAGAATCCCTGCTTGACCCCTGACCTTTTGCCCCCAAGGCCAGAGGTAAGGCCCTGGCCTCCTGGGTGCCTCAGTTACCCTATCTCTTAAATGGGCAGCCCATCCAGCCCACATCTCCTAGAAGGAGAGGAGCCTGGAGAAATAACTAGTCCTGACCTAGTGCCAGTTGCATGGGGCCTTGAGGATGAAGTGTGTAAGCCATCCTCCAGCGAGCTGTCATCTCAGGACCTGAACTTGCTCATCAGCTGATGACGGGCAGGTGGGGTGGCCACAGGAACTCTGAGATGCTTCTGTAGGATGCTGGTGGGCTCCCTAAAGGCACAAGGTGGGGTGCAGGGGCCCCCCCTTGCTGTGGCTGTAGCCCAGGCTCTGTCCCTGACAGGCTGGCCAGGACCCTGACCCCTCAGCAAGTTCATTCCGTTTGGCAAAGGAGGAAACTGAGGCACAGGGAGGCCCAGTCACTAAGGTCCTGCAGCCAAGGTGTGCCAGGTCTGCCTGACCCAGTCTGGGCTCCTGACCATGACGCCAAACTGCCTCCACGGCTACCACCATCATCACGATAGAATGTTAATAATAGTTGTAATTATTATTATTATTGAGGGCAGTGCTCCAGGCAGGGAAGCCTGGGTGACTGCATCACTGGGGCCGGGTACGTGGCCGGTGCCCAGAATTAGGCAGCGCCCTGTCCCAGCTGGCCCGGGGACTATGCTGAGGATGGCAGTTTCCGTCACACAGCCCAGGTCACAGCTGAGGACTTCTTCCTACACCCCCACCCGTCCGCCCCTGGATGTATTTGCTGATGGACCCAGTGGAGATTCGTGAACGGGGAGACTGAAAACTGAAGCAGAGGCAATCAGTGTTTTCAGAGAGCTCAGCCCTCTGCCTTCACCCAAGCCAGGCACCCCTTCTCCAAAAGATGGTGGATCCTGATGTTCAGAGCACGGGCCAGCGCCCAGTCTACCAGGGCTCAAATCCTGGGGCTTCTGCTCGCAGGACAAGTGATCCACTTTGCTCTCTGTCCCCGTCTGCGCAACCATGCATGGCCCGAGGCCTCCAGGAGGACCGAGTGAGAGCTGTGCCCGACCCACCCTGCCTGGTGCCCAGTAAGTGTCTGCACCTTGACCCCTCCGGGTGGGTAGAGCCGAAGGAGCCGTCTGTCCGGCTGCTGGAGAAAAAGGGAGCCTGAGACGTGACTGTAGACCGACTTCGTGACTGAGTTGGACTCCGGAACGACTGGCTTCAAGCGTGTTAAATGTCTGACTGCTGTGGCTGGGACAGTCCCCAAGCCCCAGCCGGCGTCAGTTCTGGATGCGAGCAGCCTTGGTGGCCATGTGGGTCCAGGCCTAGGCTTTTGCAATCCCTCCAGCCGCAGTAGAGCCCGCAAAACAGGTTCCCAGCTTCCCTGCCCCAGTCAGGGTTCCGGAGCCATCCTCTTGTGTCTCTCCTGCAGCACTAAGGGAAACAGCTCGTGACCGGTCCTGCCCTCCGGACGGACGCGGCCTGCCCAGCTGCCTCAGCTCTGGGCTCCGAGGCTGAGTCTGCAGCCTCCGGACGGGGTGGGGGGTGGGGCAGCTAGGGCCTGTGCGGGCCCAGAGCTCCCCGCAGCACGTGTGCCGGCCACGGGCTCTGCAGGCTCGGGGCTGGGAAGGGCAAGGGCGCCCCCCACAGAGGCGGCAGCAGATTGCAGCGGAGGAGGCCTCGCAGGGAGCCCGGGCGAACAGGCAAATGGACAGAGCAAGGCAATGACGTCCCCCAGGGAGCGTCGCTGCGGCTGGGGCCTGGGGTCACAGGACGACCCCTCCTCCTGTCTTTGCTTAAAAACATTTCTTCTTTTCTTTCCAGGAGAGGTGAGTGGGGTCACAGGTGGCCTCAGCTTCTTGTCCCCGGATTTCTGGACAAGGAGGATGGACAGGGCAGTGCTTCTGGAAACTCAAGATGCCAAGTCCCCAGCCCAGGTGCCTCCCTCCCTCCAAGGAGCGTCCTGTGTTGTCCTGGTCACCTCTGGATGTGGTGTGGTCACCCGCAGGACAGGGAGGCTCCAAGGAGCCCCCTGGTGGCCCACGGAGTTGCTGCGGCCACACCAGCCCGGGCGTGCTCCCTCCGGGACATCCACTGACACGGGACCTTTCTTGGGGACCCAGACCCTGTGCCAGGCACTTTGCTGGGGGACACAAGGGAAAAATCATCTCTCAACAGCCCTGGGAGGTGGGTGTTACCCCGTTTTATAGATGTGGACACCTGGAGGGGACTGCCCTGTATCATTAGGCTACAGAGCATCGACAGCAATGACATGAAAAGTGTATTTATTTTATTTTATCTTTTTAAAACTTTTTTTTTAAATGTTCTATTTATTTCTGAGAGAGAGAGAGAGACATTGTGAACAGGGGAGGGTCAGAGAGAGGGAGTCACAGACTCTGAAACAGGCTCCAGGCGCCAAGCTGTCAGCACAGAGCCCGACACGGGGCTCGAACCCACGAACCGTGA